CTGTTTTGGGACTCATACATGGTTTTTTTTTCCCCAATGAAAAAATGTTGTCAGTTTTGTTCGTTTGTTTCAGAGGCATCTTTTTACTGATTAATACATTCTCTGTACCTCCCTTTGTTGCTGGCTGGTATTATTATTCATAACAGGAGAATGTGAACAGAATAACAAACTATCAACTTATGCAAACTATCAAATTATGCAAAGGGCTGTTTACACCAAGTGAAAAGAAATCTCCTGAGATTTAACACAAACTGCAGGAAGCAATTGATCTCTACAGTATTTCAAGATCTGTGCAACAGCTTTATGCCTACATACATGATAGCACCCATATAGGTCTATACATTTATTTATTTACTGCATTTATACCCCAACGTTTCTGTCACATGCAGGTGATGCAAAACCAGGATTTTCTGACTGAAAAGACTGGTGTTAGATGTGGAAAACCAGGTCCGCTGATTTAGTGCTAAAACACCAATACATAGAAATCTTCTCAACCAATGGTTAGCATTTGTAAGCATCAATGGAATTCAAGGGAGATTGGGCTTAGTCTGTTTGTGGCTACATAGGGATTCTAGACTGATTCCTCTTTTAGCTCCACCCCCAGGTTCTTCCACTCATTCTCCAGCAATTAGTAAAGTCAGATAAACTTTCCTGATTACATGACATTATAACTTTCTGGAATGTATCACCCACAAAGATTTAGGGGTCTCGTTCTTATGGAACAACGGAAAGAATAATTGGATCATTCTCAAAATGAACTGAGTAACTCCTAGAATATTTCTCTTAAGTTAGGACTAGCTATTGAATTGAGAAGTCAGCTAACTTGGTGAAAGTCTCTTCATTTTCTCAGAATGTCTAGAACACGGACTAGATTCCAGTATCACATTAAGCCATTGTTTTATTCCCCCTAAGATTAACCAAAGCCTTTTTATTCATAAGTTATACCTGGGCTCTAGGTTCAAACAATACACATGATAACTTTGCACATTGCAGGCAAACAGATGATCTTGAGAACTGTGGTGGAAAATTAAAAGATCCAGCTAGCTAGACCATACAGAATTAGCAAGGTCTTAGTGTCTACAAACTCTCTGTCAGAGGCACTCTTTTGTCCCTATTAGGATGGTGTTACCTGTTAGAGAGTCCATCGCACAATATCCTTCTCAACTATCCATATATTTTCTTTCAACGCATTTCAGACTTCTGCTCTTTCTCCAGCTAGGTCTTTGATTTTCTCAATTTATGCAAAGGCCTGGCTGGAGAAAGAGCAGAAGTTTTTTTTAGAAACTTTTTTCCATATCCAAATTAATGCATCCCTTATCTGATGTTGGAGGAAATATGCATGAGTTTTCTTATCTTTTCCCGATAGAAAAGCATGTCATCCAGCCTGTAAATCATGACCTTCAGTTGTTAAGACCCAGCTTTAATTGTCACCAGAACACCAAACTTCTATAGAAGTTTGCTTAGCTGGCAAATGGACATAGAAGGTTCTTGGAAGCTGGAAGATTCAAACTATAGTGTTTCAAATGACCCCAAAGATCAAAGTAGGCAATAACACATTTTTCTTCAAAAGTGATGAGCTGGATTTAACTTCCCATAATTTCCCAATCTTTCCCTTCCTGCAGGGGTAGTCTTAGGAGATTGCTGGTGCAGACCTTTCCCGTTTCTGTTTATACAGTTAGGTTTTCCTTCATGCAATTCTTTAAAGTTAGCATTTACAAGCACAAGTAATGCTGGGTCATAGGGATGGTTTAAGCAGTTTCACCCACATTTCCTCAAGAGAAAATGTCCTTTTTTTTTTACAGTCAACTCTTTTTTGGTTCATTACAGCTTTCAAGGTCCATACACACCCAGCTGGAATCCCACTGCAACCGAATGTACAATTCTCTATGGTGTAGTGTTACTCAGTTGATGAGTCAGTGTGGAAAGATACCCCAAATTGAAAACACACGTTGTAGAATTGTGGGCTTCTGCAAGTCTTAATTTTCCAGCTCGGTGGATTTTGGGCAGCATTTTTGAACCTCCCAGTCAAAAGATCATGCTTCGATAATAGCCAACGTTTGAACATGAGACACGGATGTATCATTACTGCCTATATAATTTGTACACGTGGGCGAGTTTGGGAGGGATCAGAGAACATTAATGCAGTAGGTCTAACCAGGTTTCTTTCTAATCAAGGCAAGGCTTAGTTGTAGATAATCTATACCATCTCAGGTCAGGGACTGTCCACTCTCTTCCTAAAAACCTCCAGTTATTAGAAGGCTATTTGCAAGAGCTGAGAGATATTTACTGTTATTTATTAAACAGAATTCACAAACATGGCATTCTAACAGAATAACATAATTACCAACAATAAAAATAAAATAACAATTGACATTTTGGAAACTGGAAACATCTCTTGCCCCTTCAGGTCAACTCGTGCTAAAGATGGCAACACTGAAATACTGTAAAGAGTTGGCAAGGTTGAATTTATACAAATAGAACTTGGCAAACCACAAAAGAACACAATAGAAGCATCTGTTGGCGCCATCTTTTACATAATTACAGTGCCTGGGACAATGACAGTACTTTGTTCTAGGTTTGGGAATTATAGATTATGAACTAAGATCAAGGCCTCCTTCTAAATCAGAGCTCTGAAATCCACCCAGAGAATCTCTTATTTCTAAAATGAAAAAAAAATTGCTTCTCTGATCAACCTTAGGAAGAAGAAATCTTTCTTTATATTCAGCCTAAGCGTGTACGGTGGTTTAAATGTCTGGTTTACTTCAGATTAACAGTGGATCAGCTTTTAAGTAATCCGATGTAGGCCACCCACTCAGACTCATTGAATTAAAATACTTCTACTTTTATTCTAGAACCGCAGTTGAGTCTGAGCGTCTCCTAAGTCCTAAGCTAAGTTGTAACACGAGAAGCTCTGTTCTGCTCACATTAGGAACATATGTGTGAATCCCATTTAACAGGTAGCTGACCTCAGACTTTCCTACAACCATTCAGAAGAGGCGTATCCCTCGTAATTAGGGATCGTTGACCCATAGACAGCAACAATGGAAATGAAGTTCCTTTCAGTTCCAATTGCTAAATGTAGAGAAGGAAGAGAGAATTAGAAATGGTAAGAAAATGTAAGGAACGGGAAAGTAAATAAGCAACAATTTGTGCTTTTTGACTGCTTCTCTCGGGACCGTGTGACGTATCGGGCTAGTTCCCACAGAGAATTCTGAAATCTGTTAAGATCAGGTTGCATCCAAGTTTAACTAAGTACCAAATGACTGTCGGACTTAAGAGGCTGTCAAGTTTATAGCCGCGAGCGTGAATAGAACAGTTGAGGGCGCACATGGGAGGTTGGTAATAATAATAATAATAATTAATAATTATTAACTTAATGCATATGTTGCCAAACTCTCAGTGACTCTGGGCAGGTACATTAGAGCAGGATCTGCAGGATTAGATGGTGTCACAACGTCGCAACACAACTCTACTCCTTATGTATATGCATTGGATCTCATCATACTTACACAAAAGTAATGTTTCCAAAAGTTGTGAATGCTCAATCACTGGTGGTTTTTAAGAAGAGACTGGATAGCCATTTGTCTGAAATGGTACAGGGTTTCCTGCCTCAGCAGGGGGTTGGACTAGAAGACCTCCAAGGTCCCTTCCAATTATTATTATTATTATTATTATTGTTGTTGTTGTTGTTGTTTTTCAGATATCTGGAGAGAGCAAGGCTTCTTTTTTTTTTTTGCAGAAAACACAGATCCTTTCTGAGGGCTATAGTTTCACTCGATAGAGAGATAGGCAGCATATATATTTAATAAATAAACAGGTTCCCGTTTGGTTTTCATGTTGCAAGAGCAGAGTTGTCTTCTGTAAGTTGGTGTGGAGCCATTTGGGGTCATCTAGGCCTTCTTCCCCCTCATTGCAGGCGCCACGGGGATAAAACAGCTCACCTTTTCCAGCCAGCTCTGCCATTTATGCCTTTAAAGGCTTCCCTTTTTGTTTTTTCCTTTCTTTGCAATGAATTAATTAAACGGCATCTGCTGAATCTCGTATCCTGCGGTTCACCTCGGAAGGTGCCAAACTGTTTCCAAAGATGTGATCTTGAGATAAAATTCTGCGTGCATTCTGATTCTCTCTCTCTCTTTTTTAAAAAGACGCTCATGCTGTTTTGCGGAGATCGATATGTTTTAGTCGGGAAGATCTGATTCTGAAATGGAATAACGACAAAGTGAACTGGTCTAATTGAAAATTGTGTTAAATAATTAGCTGGTAATTGCAAATGGCTTAGCGGAGCTGGAGGGTTCCAGCGTTCTTCTGCCATTTGTAAAGCAGAGTTAGGTAATAGATATACTCTGGAGAGGCGCTCATCTATCAAATCTAAGACAAACGAACCAGATAATCTGAATGCGACGGGCAATTATTTGTTGATGTAGGGCTGAATATTCTCATGCGGTCCAATGGGTGTGTTCCTGAACTAGCTTTTCGGAGTAATTAAGCATCCCTTTCCTTATTAGTCTTTTCTTTCTCTGGGAAAGGATGCCATTTTTTGCTTGTTTCCCGATTAGCATACAGTAAGCTGGTTTGGACGTTGACAAAATGCAGTTGTGTGCTTTTTAATGAAAGCAGTTGCTCATAAACAAGTATGACGAGTCTATGAAAAAAAAGGCTAGGAAACTATGCTGCACGATTGTAGTCTGGTGATGAAGGTGTTGGGATGGCATCAGGAAGTTCCCAGGTTTTAGTCTGACCTCATTTAGAACAGAATGGAAGGGACCTCGGAGGTCTTCTAGTCCAACCCCTTGCTCAGGCAGGAAACCCTGTACCATTTCAGACAAATGGTTGGCCAAGCTCTTTTTAAAAACCTCTGGTGTTGAAGCATTCACACTTCTGGAGTAAAGTTGTTCCACTGATTAATTGTTCTCACTGTCAGAAAATTTGTCCTTCATTCTAGATTGGATCTCTCTTTGGGTAGTTTCCATCTGTTGTTCCTTCTCCTGTTTTATGTACAGCTAGATGGCATCATTAACATCTCCCAACATCATTCACATCTCCAAAGCTCCTCAAGGCAGGACAAGAAGCAACGGATAGAAACTCATCAAAGAGAGAGGCAACATGGAACTAAGGAGAAATTTGCTGACAGCTAGAACAATTAACCAGTGGAACAACCTGCCTCCAGAAATTGTGAATGCTCCAACACTGGAAGTTTTTAAGAAGAGACTGGACAGCCATTTGTCCGAAATGGTATAAGGTTTCCTGCCTGAGCAGGGGGTTGGACTAGATGACCTCCGAGGTCCCTTCTAACTTTATTATTATTATTATTATTATTATTATTATTATTATTATTATTATTATTATTATTATTATTATTATTATTATTATCTTGGCTAATGTTGAAGAGCTAAGAAGAATTAGGTCCAATTAGCACGCAGATAAGATATCACCAGGAATAGACAAGGAGGGCTATTGCCGAGAAAACTAGAAGGATGGGACTGAGCTTGTGTAAACCGAGTGTTTACTTTATCCTTTTTTAATTCTGCTATAAATAAATATTCATCTTTGGGATACCAATAGAATCTCTGGTTGTTTTGTTCCGGGAGAATAAAATTTGAATTAGGATAAATAATGCTGTGTCAATCTCGCCTTCATTGTCAAATGAGTCAGCAATGATAAACAACACAACTGAGTCATTTGTTGTAGGTGACAGAGAACAGTCGCAGAAAGAGAAGGGCAGAGGATAAAATGGCCACTGTGCTCAAAACCCATAAATGGACCCCTTGCCTTAATGGGCCTCTTTGTTAAATTGCAGCATTGGCATTAGGCTAACAAGGTTATACCAACTTGTGTTTCCTTTTCAGAAATCCCCAAATGATAATGCATTATCTTAAAGAAGATTAAAAGTGGGGTGTATCTGCGCAGGACAAAATAGAAAAGAGTAATATGAATTTATTGTGCCCAGTTAAAGTAGCAGGGCATAAATATTCTTGACGTCTTCTTCATTGGCAAGCCTTAAGCATCCCCATTAACAAATAAAATGCATCTGTTTCATGGGTGCGATGCTAACAAGTCACAAATATTGACTGTCACTGTGCTTTTAAATACCAGCCCACCATTCAGATGCCTGGTTTAAATGTATTTTATGTTTGGCTTGGATAATCAGACTTCAGAAAAAGTTGTTGCGAGTTTTTCCATAATGCTTAAAAAAATCTAATTCTTCTTCTAATTTAGGGAAAGAAGAGTAGACATTCATAAAATGTTGTTCTTTCAAAACAGTTTTATGATCTGGAAAGCTTTTGAGAGAAATGTTAATTGCACACTAGTATTCTGCAGGTGGTGATGGAAAGTATGGAGAATTGGGACGGTATAATTTATTGTGTAATGATCTTACCTTTGAGTTATGCAGTGATTTATTATTATTTTTCCTAATGATGGTTCTCCATCAGCAGTCTTATAGAAGAACTGATGTACGGGACCTCTGTGTCTTTTAATAAAAGCTTAATTCCCCTGTGACAGAAACTTTGGTCACAAATAGGCTGGGAGAATTATACAAGTTCAAAAGCAAAATTTAACCTTCCTGATCCAATCCTTCTAAAAAGAGCTATTTGATTTTTTTTTAGAAGCATTAAGGATGCTTCCATTTAACCAATTTAACTGTGATTTTCCACCTGTTTCTCTATCGCTGGTGGAATATGTTGCAGACCTAGAGTTTTGAGCTGTAGAACTGTCTGGGTTCGTGTCTCTTGAAATATGAGTGCAATATCACATTGAGGTTTTGTGAAACAACCGTTCCAATTGTAAGCTCACCCTATAAAGCGCTTGTAATAATAACTTAGCAGGCTGGAGGTTCCTGTTTATTATCTTAGTAAATTTACAACAACCTCATTAAGCAGCTCCAGCATTCTTTCATTTTAGGATGAGTCTCGCATATTCTTCTTGCTTAGTCATTCTGCTCCACTAGCTTTCAGATCTCATCCAGGGACGGTAGACAAGAGAATCAGGATTAAACATTCAGTTCAATTATGCAATGTTGCCTTACATAATAAATTGAACTGTTAGAATGATAGAGGGACCGGCTGGGGCCGCATAATGAATAAGGGATGGGTTTGACCAAATGCCACAGTTATCCCTAAGGAGCACATAGCAGGAAACATGACAGCAAAGTCTTTTTCCCCTCTCTCAGTCTTTAGAAGGCAAAATTGAATAGCATATTTTCATAGCATGCTTGCTTTGAGCATTGTAAAATAAAACCTGATTGCAATATTTTTAAGCATACTCCAAGGATATCATCAGTACAGTTTGTTACATAAGAGTCCTTATTCTGCAGGTCGATGTTTCCTCATAGAATATTAGAACCACTGTACATTTTTCTAGCCACTGTGACTGGCAAAATATATTTGTCACATTTTTTGAAAAGGGAAAGAAATTTATTAGGAAGTCCCATGATCAGTGAGAAGAAGAAGCAGGAAGAATCAACTGGCCATATCCTTTGGCAGGCATGTTCCTTCTCCTTAGCTAATTTTTCTTACAAATAAGAGTGGTATGTTAAGCAGCCCCTTTTAAATATAAGATTTATTTATTGTATTTCAATGCTTTCAGTGCAGTAAAGTTCAGAATAGAATTACAGCCTCAATTTTTTACTTGACCAACTTGGCAAGTATTAGCTCTCAACATCGAAAAGTTCATTTTATTCTCTCTTGAGCTTAAAGTCCAAAAGCAGTTTCCAAGTGGAAGCAAAGCTGGATATGTTCTTCTCACTAATTAAAACAGCCTTTTTTTTTTTTTTTTTTTGCCATTTCTGCTTGCCCCATCACTTTTTCCGTCCATTCTTCTGTTGTGGGGGACTGATTGTATCCATGGATTGCTTTTCTGAAGAAACAAACAGTGGTTCTTTGGCAGCTTCCAATTCTGAAAATGTCAATATAATCGGAACTAACCTTAGGCAAAAAACAAACATTTCATTAAAATGCTGAAACAGAAAACTATCTGTTAACTTTTACGTTAGCAAAAGTAGAGGTAACATGAGTGGTTTGTTTGATACAAAAGAAGCCAAGTTGATTTATTGGAAAATATTAATATACTGCCTCAAACTAAATGATATAGAAAAGTATAGTATACCCTTTAAAATTGTACAGTCATAAACCAATACTAAAACAGTGGGCACCCACAGTTCTTGTAACGATAAATAGGAAAGACGTGGGGAGATGGGATGAGGGACGCTGCCTAGGAAAAGATCAGATAACAGGCAAAATATAATAATAATAATAATGATGATAATAATAATAATAATAATAATAATAATAATAATAATAATAATAATAATAATAATAATAATAATAATAAACTGTTCTGGGACTTCAGAATTCAAACAGACAAGCACCTGCAACATAACACCCCAGACTTAACAATTGTCGATAAGAAAGACAAAAAAGTCTGGATAGTGGACGTGGCAGTGCCTGGAGACAGCAGAATAGAAGAGAAAGAACTGGAGAAGATAACAAAATACAAAGACCTACAAATAGAAATAGAAAGACTGTGGCAAAAGCAAGCAAGGGTAGTACCAATAGTCATAGGCGCCTTGGGTGCAATCCCAAAACAACTGGAGCACCACTTGAACACCATTGGCATTGACAAATTCGCTATTAGTCAATTGCAAAAGGCGGCCTTACTAGGAACTGCTTCCATCCTGCGACGATATCTGTAATACCATCAAACATCCACATCTGCCTATCCCAGGTCCTGGGTAAGGACTCGATAGGTAGACAAAATGCCAAATCCAGTCTGAACATCTGGCTGACTATGCGATGATCCATAATAATAGTAGTAGTAGTAAAGTTGGAAGGGAACTTGGAGGTCATCTAGTCCAACCCCCCGCTCAGACAGGAAACCCTATACCATTTTGGACAAATGGCTGTCCAGTCTCTTCTTAAAAACCTCCAGTGTTGGAGCATTCACCGCTCCATACATATTAGATTCATAGATGAATCTTCATACACTTTCGCACTAAATGTTTGCTATTTTGCTGATGGATTGCAAGAGATTAATGCTTTCTCTAAGGCAGGTGTCCCCAATCTGTGGGCTGCTGTGCACACCAGGCCATGATCTATTGGCTACTGGGCTGCGTGAGCCTCTGGCTGGTGCATGCATCTCTGTGTTTGCACAGCTCCACTCACACGAGTGTCACGGCAAGTGTGGTGGGCATTCGCAGCCCCACTTGCATGAGCATCACCGCAAGCGTTGTGGGCACTTGTGGCCCCACTTACACAAGTGTCAGTGCAAGCATTCACGGCCCCATTCATGTGAGCGTCACCGCAAGTGTGATGGGCTTTGGCGGCCCCACTTGCACAAGTGTCACTGCGAGTATTCATGGCCCCATTCGCGTGAGCATCACCACAAGCGTTGCGGTCATTCGTGGCCCCACTTGCACAAGACCCACTGTGAGTATCATGGGCATTCATGACCCAACTCGCACGAGCATCAGGGATGTTCATGACCCCGCTTGCATGAGAGCTCACGGCCCCACTTGTGTGAGCAACGGGTGTTTGTGCGTGCTCATGGATTCACCCTCCCACAAAACAATCCCTTCTTTTCCTCCCCCCCTCTTGGCCAACAATCCCATAATGTTGGGGAACTCCACTTTAAGGTGTTAGTATTAGTGAAACAGATGTATGTGAGCATGAAGGCATCAATCAAACCATCTTTTCTTTAAAAAATGACTTCTGTGAAGAATCATGGAATCATAGGACTGGGAGGGATCTTGAAAACCTCCAGCGATGGACCACCCACAACTTCAGGGGACAAGCTATTTTGTTCTTTAATCATTCTCACTGTCAGGAAATTCCAGCTTATTTCCAGATTGAATCGCCTTCCGACAAGCTTCCATCCATGGCTTCATGTCCTGCCCTCAGGAGCTTTGGGGAATCAACCAATGCCCTCTGCTCTGTGACAGCCCTTCAAGTATTGGAAGACAGTTATATCTCCCCTAAGCCTTCTTCGTTAGGCTAAACACACTTAGTTCCCTAGAGAAATTAATGTTTGATGAAGGGTTTGCTTTTCAAGATCAATAGAAAAGTTTGACTCTTAGCTGTCCACAACATAAGGCAAATTACCATAAAAGTTTCAAGTTACTGTTAACATTTTGCTTGTCAATTTTTTAACGCTTCAGTCTCTTAAGTACCAACGACAACCCATCTGCTGTCTGAACAACAAATGAAAATCTGGAACATTTTTTTGAAGGGAGACAAGGAAGAGAGAAGGGAAAAAAGAGAGTTGCAAATTGTCCCATATTTTATACTTATAGAAACAAAATGGGCAAAGAAGAGAGCTGATTTTGAATCTGGGTCTATAACCCTGAATTTCTGGCTGTGTCTCACTTCCAAAGCTTTCCAAGGTTGTACCAGCTTTCCAATAACTTGAGTTTGCACCTAGTGATGTGGCTGAAATAAACAGGCATTTGATTCTTAGTCATTTTTTATTAGACTTTATTTTTTTTAAAAAAATGGGTAAATTTGAAGACACACACAACATTCTTACTTTCCCAAGTCTACTTAGCCGTTTCCTGATCAAACATTCTGTGTGATGAAATGGCTCTTTCAGCAAATTGTTTCTCCATCTAGTTATTTTTGATTGGGATCTGGCTACAGCGTGGTTTGTGGTCAAGGCCAAATCCATTCTAGACTAACTTTTAAGGTCACGTTTCTCAAGGTAAAGGCTCACACTGGAAAGAACAAATGTAATGGAGAAACTAGATAATAATAAAGGAAAATATTTGTAGTTCAGAGTTGAAATGAGGGGTCCTTGGTGCTCTCTGAATTTGCTTGTTTTCCTGCAGATGTTTCATTACCCAAACTAAGGAGCAGTTTCTTGATTGGGGCCTTGCTTACTTGATTGTTGGTCTGAAG